AGTTATAATCATCAACATTAAAAGAAATAAACATCTGAAATATATCAGTCTGTGTGTAATGAATGAATATAATATACAAGTTTCACTTTTTGAATGGAATTACTGAAATAAATAAACTTTTTCAAGATGTTCTAATTTTATGACCAGAACCTGTATAAATAAAAGTTGAATGGATAACGGCGATCCGTGCGACCCGGAAGTATTCCTTTTAGCGCATGTGCAAATGAGCCATATTCCAGGAAGCAGATCGTGTGGGGACGACCGAACGAGTTGCTTGCTCGAGGTGCGGCTCGCGAACACTTGAGTCGAGCGGAGAAGTGGGTGAGAACGTTTGGAAGAAAGTGGCTGATTTTTCATTTTGAAGAAAAGAGTGTCGGACAAAAAGAAACAAGAGGTTTGGCATAAACTGGTTTGTGACTGGATGGCAGCTCTTGTAGAGGAAGATGATGATAAGGACTTGAATGATTGGAGTCAAGTTGTTAAGTGGAAGAAGAAGAACCGCATGAGAAAATGAAAGTTTGGTAGGGACACAGGTTAGTAAAAGGACTTTGGACGAAAATGGTTCAGATGAAGGGACACCTGTGGTCCGCAAGAAGATTGTTAAAGAGGAAATTAAAGTTATTCTGAAATTTAAAGAAGACAACAACATACAGCGTGGTCCAATTGCATTAGACCTCAACTACTGCCCCAAATCACAAATGAGTTGAAAAGGAGGTGCCATGGATGCATTACAGTATACCAGGAGGCTATGCTCGAGTGCCTGATTGCCAAGATCTTGGAGGTAGCGGAAAACACGGCTTGTGACAGTGGGAGGACCGAGATCGTCCCCTGGCACCTGCAGTTAAGTCCACAGCGACGAGGAGCTCGGCAGGCTGCTGCAAGAAATGGCCATTGCTCAAGGAGGAGTTCTGCCGGCATTCAGGCAGTCCTGCTGCCCAGTAAGACGAGAGGTCTACTGGGTCTGGCATCTGCAGCCAGTTTCTTGGGATCTGCTGTGGGACGGACTGCTACAAGAAATCCTTCTTGCCCAAAGCCATCAGCATCTAGAACAACTCTAATGAAACCAAGAAGAGCTACAACAACAATTAATTTCCCTTTGGGATTAATAAAGTATTTTTGAATTGAATTTGAATTTGAATTTGTATTATCAAAAGAACTCAAAAAGAAGATTGGAGATATTTCTTTTGCAAAAATGCTTAGAGATGGGAGTGTACCGATCATTTGTAAAAGTGAAGAACAGAAAAATAAAGCACTGAATATTGAAAGTATTTGTAGAAAAACTGTGTGAGAGAAAAGGATTTTAGGAGAGAAGAAAGTAACGAGGGGCGTGATAACAGGAATACCATGAAGATCTGGAAAAGCTTCAAAAGAGCATTCAGGGTGCATCAGATCAAAAGATTATTGAGAACAATAAATGGAGAAAGAACTGAAAGCCTGTCGATAATGATTGAATTTCACAATAATGTGCTTCCAGAGAAGGTTAAGATCGGGTTCATGAACTTTCCAGTTAGGCCTCGTGTCCCTCCCCCACTCAGGTGTTATAAGTGTCAAAGATGTGGACACATTGCAGCTGTGTGTAAGGGACGGCAAAGGTGTCCAAGATGTGGGGGTGATCATAGATATGAGTGATCACAGATATGAGGAGTGATCATAGATATGAGGAGTGATCACAGATATGAGGAGTGATCACAGATATGAGGAGTGATCATAGATATGAGGAGTGATCACAGATATGA